CTTTGTTGTCAAATATCTCTTTCTTTTCCCTTTTTTGTTTTATAAATTGTTTTACTATGTGTGTATACATTTTATAAAATATTTACATTTAAGAAATATACTTTAATTTATTTCAATAAATGCAATTAAAATTTTTGTAAATATTTTTCATAATTCCAATTTTTAAAATATTAAATAATTATAAATGACATTATTCAAATTCACTTTTATATCTAAAATTTTTCAAACTTCATTTTAATAATTTTTAGTTATTATTTAAATTATTTAAACTAGAATGTATTACCCGCGCATATTAGGAAATTATATTATTTTTTATTGAAATTAGTACAACGAATTCACATAAAATGAAAAAAAAAAATTACATCACAGGTCCAAATACTCTTACTTAGAGTAAAAATAAGTGCATATGTGAAATTATTTGGAACTCTCCACGATAATGAAGACTTGGAGAAGTAACCTCAAATCAAATGAACAGAAGAATACAACCATATTCAAGTGTAAGTATCAGTTAGCTAGAAATTCACATCAACGTAAATTGTTGAACCAAACATTTCACCAAGGAAAATATTGTTCAAATATTCAATTCCAATTTTATTTCAAATAGTCATCAACTTCAAACAATGCATATCATTAAATAGAAGCCACAGTTCCTACCAAGATGTAAAAAGGAATAATCTTACTTTATGTTAGATTATAGCATCGCCGGTCCTTACTCTTGTGGCTAGCGAGGATCGGACATTTGGACTTAATTTATAAAGCAACATATTGGTAAGGTTATACCCTCATATCATAACCGCAACCGCTCAAGAAAAATCTCACACAACGAAATTAATTGAAATTAAAAATGAAAATAAAGATAAAGAAAAATCACATAATCATGTTTCAGCAAACACTATTTCCAGATAGAAAAAAAGCTCATCACTTTGCCAACATCTCTGCAACATGAACATGAAGCTCTGATATGACAAGTCAAAAATTTCAAAATGCTCAATTTGTAAGCAAGAAAATAATGATCAATTTAGCTGTACTTTGCTGCCTTTATTTAGCCATGTCAAAAAATTTCTATATATCAGCAAATCTGAGATTTTTAAATGAATGAATTCATAATGTGACGAAATAAAAAAGTTGGTGAAGAATAAGCATTTTACCGTAGATTGAAGGCTGAGCAGATTCCAAATATATTGCCACCAAACTAAAGCCAGATTTGATAGAGAAACATGACACAAGCTTTTGCTACCTTCATTTGCCGGCGTTGAAAAATTTCCAGCAATTGCTGCCTCCACCTTTACATAAGGATTAGTCTGAAACAAAGTATATTCCACATCAGAAAATTTATTTGCCTATGTTGGAAAATTTCCAGTCTTAAGCACTTGACAATGATCAAGATGCATAATCATCATATACTTATCTAGAAGAATAGCTTTTACATGATTATGCTGATTATTTAGTTGCTCAGAATCTTGTGAGATCAAGCACAAATGGTCTAAAGAAAAGGTATTACTTCCCCAGGTGGTCAGAATCTTGTGAGGTCAATGAAGTTACCAAACTACGATTTTACAAAAAATAGAGAGAGAAGAAAATAACAAGCCAAAGAAAAAGATTATTGAAATTTCAAGAAATGTTGATGGCCATGGGTAAGCAAGCAAAATGAGAAGCTGCCAGAGAATAAAAGGAAACTGAAATGCAGAGAGGGAGAGAGAAGCATATAAATCAAATGGGAAACTATTCGTATCCAAAAGTTTAATTTCCAGACTCACTACCAATGAATTACCCCCACAAGAAAAGTTGCCCATAAGAGAATCCAGAACTGAACAACAAAAAACTTGAGTTGCCCATAAGAAAACTTATTTTGATGCGTGCTTTCTTGGTCAAGCTTCTTAAAAAATCTATGTTGTTAGCATTCGGGATAGAAGATTCAGTGGAGTGAGAGAGGGAGTTGTTCAGAGAAAGCTTGATACAAGGACTTGTCTTGCTTCAAGGTGCCTTCTTTCTCTACCTCGCTGGTTCCTCTCCATGCTCGCATCCTTGCCCGACAAAGCTATTTCCCGTTCATTTATAAAACTGATAAAGCCAGCTTCTACCTAGGAGTAGAGAGATGAGAATGTAAGGGAGAGAAATTTGATCACATCCTTCTCGATTCTTTCCATCGTGTTTGATACTTGAGGAAGGCGAGAAATAATTTTGAATTTTGAATTTGAAAGGAACCTTACCTCTCCAAGCATCAAGGACTGACCAAAAATGGAAAAAGCTTCTCTCACATCTAGAGTTCTTGGCCTCTTCTCCATCTTCATGCTTCTCGGCCTGCGATTCAGATTCCTACAGTTCTGCATCACTGCCACTCTGAATTCACTGCTTCACCCTTTTTTCTTCTTTCCGTCCCCGAGCAGCGTGAAGGGCCATGGTATAAATGGAACCTCCTTTATTTTTTATTTTTTTTTAATAATCTCCACTCCCCTCCATCTCCCTTCCCTCTTCAATCCGAGGCAGTTTTTTTTAGTCGTTATACGATGGAATTTTATATATATTCGACAATAATTATCATCATGCATTTAAAATAGAGAAAGAAATGTGAGATAAAAATTTTATACAATTATATTATTTTTTTACCAGCTACAATTATATTATATTGAATAATAAAAAGACGTATAAAGATTTGGGGAAAAAAAAAAGGTTATGAGATTTTATTCTTAAAAGAAACTTCATAAGTAGTGAATGTAATAGCTCATAAAAAAAAATAAAAGATGCTTTAAAAGAAACTCCTAAAGATATGGAATAATTTAAAAAATAAGTTTCTCTAATTTATAAAAAGAAAGGCAAGAAAGATCTCAAACCCTTTTTTCTACCAGACTTAAAAGTCTATTAAAATAATAATTCAATAATAATTTTTGTTAGATATTGAAATTTTCTTACCAGCTGTTAGATATTGAAAATAGAGAAAAGAAAGTCAGGAAATAAAAATTTTGTATAAACCCATCTTTAATATTGCACAGAGCCCAAAGTTTATTAAAACAGTTATTTAAATGAGCCACAAGACACAAAGCCTGAGAATTTTTTTTGCAAGCTACACATCCCTTATGATGGCTTCTGAACAGTAGTTTCAGTGTAAAGCCAATGATAAGCCATTTTTGAAGTCGGCTTAGTGGAAGAGTTGATATTGATGATAAGTTTACATATTATTGTGGTTGGTCAAACATGGAGTATAAGAGAGATAGGAAATTTAGCAGTTTAGTTCGGGGTAGTATGGTATATTTAAATTTATATTTTGAAATCTAGTCCTTCTAGATAATTATATTTTTTAAGATCCTCTTTAATAAATATTATTTTATTCATATCTTCTCTTTAATTTTCCGCTTTTTATTTAGATTAATTCTAGTAGCAGTAGGAAAGTCATAATCTTTTACTGTAATATATCATGTTGTTTTTAATGTAACAAATACACAAAAATGTTTTTCACACGATCTAAAATTCCTGGGTCCTATGCTACATGTAATCGTAGTATCACACACGCTGTTGCATCGTTTTGCATGAGAGATTTGTTTCTTATATTGTCTTTCATCTTTTATATATTCATATTAGCTAATATCTTAAATTTTCTCTTTTTCTTTCGCAGATCTTGGCTCATTAAATTACTTGAAGCTGATATTTGGACACCTCCTTTGCTTGCATCCAAGTTAACATGGATATTCATGATTTTAATTTATCGATCCATAGAAAATTTCGTAGCTTACTTTATCTACAAATTGGAGTGAACCTTTTTTTTTTTTTGACTTGTGAATATATATTATGGTGACTGTCTTGACTTGTATATAAATTGCTATCAAAATGATTTTGCTCGTGATCATTGCTATATCTGGTTTTAGTTCATTCTTTTTATGATCTATCCCTACCAGTGAAGAACTGCACTAATTAATTACTCATTATGAATTATGAAATTTTAATATAACCAACAAATCATGCTTCATAGATAGAGAAATTCTTGTATGGACCTGGAGCACCACTTTATCTGTGGTCTATCCAATCACAATACAACATATCACCTTATTTTGTTATGAGCTGGCAGCTTCTTAATTATGGATAAATACAGTATTTTTTAAATAAAATTTCTGAAAAGATAAATTATTTTAGTCATACGATTCCTTCCTCTCTCCTTTCCTCCTCCTTCCTCGATCGGAACCCTTTTTCTCTAAAATTCAATTTCTTTCATGGTAAGCATAGTTGCTATCGTTGCCCTCAGTGTTGACTGTTAGTGTCTCCATTGATTAACTTGCTTAGCTTGAAGTTGCCTGATTTTGTCCAAAAAAATCCCTCAGCCTAAAAGTTGCTTGAATTTGTTAACAAAAAAAAAAAAAAACATTCCTCAACCTAAAGGTTCTTTTCTCTTTCTCTCCTCTCTTCCTAAAATCATGGGTTTCTTTTCAAATTCAAATAGATTGAAACTGATGGAAAAAACCACTTGAAATTTTGTTTTTTGTTTATGTTTCTTCTAACTTTGCTCTTTATTTCTAAATAAGCTAATCTTTCACCTCCATCAGTGTGATTCAAAACTTTGTTTCGGCACCTGCTGCATCTAGGTTTCCACTACATTAAAATAGAATAGGAAGCATTTATAATAGCATGAGTGTGAAGAGGGCATTAAACTAATTCATGCACATCACATTTGAATCCCTATCCCAGCCCACTACGTGCATTTGAAATCTGAAAACTATTTTGAACATTTCACCTAAAGAAAAGCTATGTAAGGGATCAGAGATGGCAAAGCAATAATTGGATTGGAAGAAAAAGGGTTCCAATGGAGGAGGAGGAGGAGGAGGAGAGGAGAGAGGAGAGTGGAGAGAGAATCTGATCAGTAATTTGATTAAAATATTGTTTTAGTGTACTTATTTGTTTAGCAATTTTATTTTTAAAAAATGACATATTCATATAAATTAAAAAAGAACTGTCAGCTCAGATTAAAAAATGAGGTTATTTGTTGTATTATAAGGGGACAAAGCATAGATGAGGTGGTGTACCTGGTGCATTCAAGAATTTCTCTCATAGATATAAATCTTGGTAGTTGTTGTTGTTCTCATATATAGATTGCTATTTGGTATGTTTTGGGTCATCATGAACATTAATTGCTATAGATTTGAGGATGAATATGCATCCTTTTTTAATATACTATATTACACGTGTGTGTACTTATTTAAGTGAAGTAGAGAGAGAGAGAGATGTCATTCTTTCTATGATCTCTCCCTAATATTGAATAATAGGGTTTTGAGTAGCATATTATAATCTTAGAACACAGTTGGCAAGTACCTAGATATGATGATTTAGCTAATTTTGTAACCACAATCCCATATGCATGTTAGATGGATATATGTACCGGTGTTGCAACAACAATCATCCCAGGCTTGTTACGTAAAGCATGGGAGGAACTTCAGTATCAGCGTAAACATAAGAGTTATGTTCAAAACTTCAAAAGGAAACAAGAAGAGTTGTTAGCTATGGTGAAAAGTGTAGAACTAAGGATAGAAGAAGCCAAATGAAGAAATAAGACATGAGTTGACCCCATAGTTGAACACTAGCTTCAAAGTGCCAAGGAACTTTTACAACAAGACACTAAACCAACCAAATGCTTTGGCTTGTGTACGAGTTGTTGCATGCAAATTGCGCAAGCCAAGGTGTTGGAAAGTTTGATGAAAGAGCTGATCCCAAAGTTGATAACTGAAGTTAAAGAATTTCCTGAAGAAGTTGCATATGCAGCTGGAGTGCCAGGCATGAAATTCCTTTCTCAAGAAGAGTTCATGCCCTTTGTAAGTAGAAAGGAAAAGTTTGAGGAACTCAAGAAAGAATTGGAAGATGAGAATAACTATATGATAGGATTGCAAGGGCTAGGAGGAACAGGGAAATCTACAATGGCAATAGACTCAGGAATCAAGTTGAAAACTCAAAACTCTTTGATAGAGTCATCTTCACTAGTGTGTCTACCCCTGTCAATGAAAAAAAGGATTCGAGATGACATTGCGAAGCAGTTAGAATTGCAACTAGAGGAAGAGAAGCTATTAAGCCATGCGCAACAAATATGGACCAGGATTGCTCTTGTTAGGAAGGTACTCATAATACTTGATGATGTATGGGAAGAGCCTGACCTTAAGAACATGGGGATTCAACCTAGCTTTAATATCAGGGGTCACTGTTTTGTTTTGCTAACCACACGTTCTTTGGATGTTTGTCAAAGCATGAGATGCCAAAAGACAATTCAATTAGATATCTTGCCTATGGATGATGCGTTGAATCTTTTCTTATTTCATATTATTGGAAGTAGGAATGATTATCTTGGAGATTTGAAGAAGTTAGCACAAGTTATTGTGGATGAGTGTGGACGATTGCCAATTATGATTATAGGCTATAGCAGTGGCAAAGGCCTTAAAAAGCTGGTCTCCGCAACAATGGCAGGAAGCTTTGATTGTATTGACAAACCCCATGCCTTCAAGGCATGGCATTATTGATGAACAAAAAAAGAAAGATTTATAATTCTTTAAGACTTAATTATGCTTATCTAAAAGATAAAGAAGCCAAAATTCTCTTCCTATTGTGTTCTATCTTCCCGAAAGCTTATGAAATACCCTTAGAGCTCTTAAGCAGAATTGCTTCAGGTTTGGGGCTTTTTGGAGAAGGTGACCAATACTATGTAGAAAGAAATCATGCTCATGAGATTAAAAATGCACTCAAATTCTTCTTTATTGTTAAAGGCTAGTGAAGAATATGTGAAGATGCACGATCCGCGAAATGGCCTTGGAGAAGATAGATAATGAAAAAATTCAAGTGATCATGGATCCTAAGACAAAATTGAAGGAGAATGTGATCTACTCATCTTGGATTGTAAATGGTTTTCCCAATTGCTTTGATGATAGCAAACTCGAGGTCCTCTTTGTATGGATAGATGCAAATGCTTCCTTGAAAGTTCCAAATATAGTCTTTAGAGCAATGAAGAATCTTAGAGTTCTGCTTTTGCATTCAAATATTGAGTTTGGTAGAACTTCAGCTCTATCGCTACCAAAATAAATTCAATCACTAAAACATATTCGAACATTGTCTCTCACAAATTGGAAGTTGGGTGACATATCTATGTTGATTAGACACTTAAAAAAGCTTGAGTCTCTAGAATTGACTAATTGTTCAATTGTTCAATTGCCAAATGGAATTAGTGTCTAGATAAATTGAGATTTCTATGCTTGATGCATTGTTCACTTGGAAAGAACAATCCATTTGAAGTGAATCAAGTGATTGCAAAATGCTCACAACTAGAAGAATTATATTATGTTTCAAATGATGATCATATACCTATTGATGCTAAAGTTCCTCAAATTACATCCCTTCCTAAACATCAAATATACCATACAGATGGCAACGATTTCTGAGTCTTCGATTCTTCTAAGTTGGATACTTCAATAAAAACTAGTTTTAAGCCAACCAAGTTACAAAGAATCTTCTCCAAAGAATTAATTCAATCCTTGGCAGCAAGAGCAGAGATTCTAGAGTTAGAAGGAGATGATAAAATAGGGTGGAGCAATCTAATTCCTAATATTCTTTCAATTGAAGATGGAGCTATGAAAGACTTAATCAAGCTTCTTTGAAGAAGTGGTCTAAGATGAAGTGTTTGATCCATACTGAGCATCTTCAACTTACATCTAGTGTGGCTATCGTGTCCAAGTTAGTTGAATTGCAACTTTTTGGAGTGGATGTGAGGAAAATATGCAATGGTCCTTATCCTGATGGCTTTCTCAAGCAACTAGAGAAGCTGGAGTGAAGGGAATGTGAAAAGTTGAAAAGCATATTATTTAAAGACAAGCTAGAGTTGGGTAACCTTAAGTCTATAGAAATAAGAGGTTGTTTAATGACATGTCTTTTTCATCCATCCACTGCTCAAAGCCTAAGGGAGCTAGAAACTTTGGATATTGCTAGATGTTCTGAGTTGAAATACATAATAAGGAATGAAGGATCATTAGGAGAGGTAAAAGTGGATGATAAAGATCCTAATCCAATGAGTCATGACTCAATATTTCAAAAATTGAAACTCTTCAATGTTAAAGGATGTGACAAATTGGAATTTATGTTGCCAATTTGTTCCTGTGATGACCTTCCTAAACTAGAAAGTGTGAAGATTTCTTAGTGTGAGAATCTAAGATACATGTTTGGACAACATCCAGAAGAGGGAAGGTTGCATCAAATGCAAAAGGAAAACACACTCTGTTTGTTGAAAGTAATGTCTATTAAAGGTGTTCGATCATTTGTCAACACATATCCAGATTGTTATCTCCCACAAAAATCAGCAGCAAATACAAGTGATGAGGGGTCAAAGGCTAAAGACAAGAGTCCAAGTCACGATGTCTCTTGGGTTCGTTTGTGTTGTTTTATGCCAAAATCCAAAACTACAAATAAAGAAAAGACATCTACTTCCAAGGCAGCTGAACTGGACCTTCCTATCCCACAGGTACATATATATTATTAGAGTAACTCAAGTTAGTTCAGAATCTGTTTTAAGATCTGTTAGAGTTTAGTTACAGATATGTACACGTGTTACTATTCTAGAAAATACTGAACTCTATATAATGTAATATCGCATCTCAGTCAATACAGAATGCCACATTATACAATTCATTATTCTCTCTCCTGCTATATTTCTCTCTAAAGTGTGGCTACTGACATGGTATCAGAGCTAGTCGCCGCCGACTAACTCTGTTCTCCAGCGAGAAATAGCATTTCTATTATCTTCAATTCATCAGTATTTTTTTTCTCTCATCTATCCTACATCATGTCTACATCTAGCTCTTCCATCAGCAGCTCCTCGGCGTTTCCGCTCACTGCAGCAGCTCAAAGGGGCTTCTCTAACAAAAAGATTACAATTCGACTGGACGATCACAACTTCTTGCTCTGGAAACAGCAAGTATATTTGATGGTGAAGTAGCATCGTCTGCATCATTTTCTTGATGGCAAGGTTACCATTCCACCGGCACAGGTTCAAGGTGAAGATGGCCGTCCTATTCCAAATCCTGCACTAGACGAGTACGAGTCGCTCGATTCAGCCTTAGCTTCATGGCTATTGGCCTCTGTTGCGCCGTCCATCCTACCAGAACTGGTTGGTTTAGAATCTTCTGCGCAGATCTGGGATAAACTCACGAAGCTTTACTCAAGCAAATCTGATTCCAAGATCCTATTGTATAAGAATCAACTGAGCAGTCAAAAGAAAGGAAGCCTAAGCATGAGAGAATATCTTGCAAATATAAAGTCGATCTGTGACCATTTAGCTGTTCTTGGAGAAAAGGTGGAAGCGTCGGCACAGATCTCATATATTCTCAATGGACTTACCACGGAGTTTGAAGCTGTTATTGCGGTCATCAATGCTGCCAGACCGAAGTTCGACCTTGATACGGTCACAAACATGCTTATAGATACAGAAGCAAGACAACAAACACTTTTGAATAATAGTGTTCCTGCTCAAGCACACCTTACTCAAGAAGATGAATCTGATGATACTTATGCGTTTTATTCGCAAGCACCTTTCCCAGCAGTTGGCGGCCGTGGTCATCGACCACCGAATGGCGGACCTAATATGTTTCGAGGAGGAAGATCCAACCGAGGCAGAGGCGGTCGGTCATATCCGCGACCTCAATGTCAAATCTGTTTCAAGATCGGTCATACAGCAATGAAATGCTATTACAGGTATGATAATGCCTACACACCTTCTCCTTCAATTGATCCGGTTGCTTATTTTGCAGCATATGGTCCATATGTCAACCATCCTTCATTATCCGCACCAATCTCTACACCTGAATCACTTTCATCCACTTCAACTCACTTCACTCCTGTCACTTCTACACCCTCGCCTAAACCTGAGCCTTCTAATATCACCACTACCTCACCTTCTACTACTGCACCTGCCTTAGCCCAAGCCTACATTGCCTCACCTGCAACCATTACTGATTCTGACTGGTACTTCGACTCTGGTGCTACTCAACACATTACCTATGATCCAACCACGCTCAACACTCTTACTACTGGTGCTTCACATGGATCAGTCCAAGTTGGAACTGGTGATACTGCGTCTATAACTCATATAGGTGCGTCTACTATTCCAGCTCCTGTTGGTTCATTTCATATGCAGAGAGTTTTATGTGTTCCGAGAATGAAGAAAAATCTAGTGTCTATTGCTCGATTTACTAAGGAAAATGGTGTATCAGTAGAATTTTTTCCTCATGGGAGTGTTGTTAAGGATTTGCAGACTCGACATATCCTTATGCATGGTCCTGAACGGCATGGCCTCTACCCAGCAACTACTGCACTCAATTCATCACAGCCTTCTGATGCTGCAGAAGCATATCACACTGTTATGTCTAATGATGTTGTTCTTTGGCATTGTAGATTAGGACATCCGTCCTTTGACACTGTCAAGAAAGTTTTAAAAGACAATGCTATACGTGTTACATCTTACTCCACTGATGTTTTTTGTTCTGCTTGTCAGTTAGGGAAGAGTCACAAACTTCCTTTCTCTGCTTCTACTACTGTGTATCAACAGCCATTAGAACTGATAGTAATGGATTTGTGGGGTCCTGCTCCCCTTACTTCTCATGGTTTTGGGTACTATATTGCATTTATTGATGCTTACAGCCGCTTTACTTGGATTTACATGCTGCATAAGAAATCTGATGCCCTTACTAAATTCAAAGAGTTCAAACTATTAGTTGAAAACAAATACTCCAAGAAAATCAAAGCAGTGCAAAGTGACAATGGAGGTGAATTTGTTGTATTTAAGGATTTTCTTGCACAACAAGGGGTTGAACATAGGTTTTCTTGTCCATACACATCTGAACAAAATGGCTTGATTGAACGAAAGCACAGAAGCATTGTTGAGATTGGGTTGACCTTACTGGCACATGCTTGTCTGTCCTTATATTACTGGCCTGATGCTTTCATGACCGCTGTATTCTTAATCAACAGACAACCCTCAAAACCTCTTGGAGAAAAATCACCATATGAGATGATTCATGGCTGCGTACCTGATTACACTTTACTAAAAGTATTTGGGTGTCAGTGCTTTCCATATACACGACCTTTTCATGGTCAGAAACTTGACTTCAGGTCCACACCCTGCGTTTTTCTTGGGTACAGTACTCAACACCGTGGCTATAAATGTCTTGACTTGCAGAGTGGGAAAGTGTACATCACTAGAAATGTTCGCTTTAATGAACATGTTTTCCCTGGAGGGTCACAATTCAGCGTGCAAAAAACAACCACCTTATCAGATGATCTGCCAGTACTGTCACCACCACCTTCTCCACCTTCTCAGTCACACACCATATCTCCCGCCTCCCCCCTTTCACCTATTGTACCAACTGCCTTACCCATCAACTCCCCTGCATCCCCTACTCGCCTATCTATCTCCCCAACCTCATCAAATTCATCAGCCTCTCCACCCTCAACCACCCATCTACCTACATTCACTAATCACCACCCTATGACCACACGAAGCAAAGCAGGGATATTCAAGCCAAAAGTGTTCCTTACTCTGGACACTCCTTCCTGTCCCACCTCTATTCAAGAGGCCTTATCAGATCCTTTGTGGAAACAAGCAGCACAAGAGGAGTTTGATGCTCTAGTTAAGTTTGGTACTTGGGATAAAGCAGTATTGCCTCCTGATAGGCGACCAATTGGCTGTAAATGGCTTTTTAAAACTAAAACAAATGCTGATGGTTCCTTAGCCAGACGTAAAGGCCGGCTGGTTGCAAAAGGTTACTCTCAAGAAGCAGGAATAGACTATACTGAAACTTTCAGTCCAGTTGTGAAGGCTGCTACGGTTAGAATTCTTCTCACAGTTGCTGTGACATATGGTTGGAAGTTGCATCAAGTGGACTTCAATAATGCCTTCCTTAATGGAGATCTGAATGAAGAAATATTCATGGACCCACCACCAGGCTTCGAACAATTCTTTGTTGATGAAATCTCTGGTCAGTCTTTGGTCTGCAAACTGAAAAAGGCACTCTATGGGCTAAAACAAGCCCCCCGGTCTTGGTTTCAAAAACTCAAGGAATTCCTATGCAGTCTTGATTTCTTACCATCAAAGGCAGATCCCTGTCTCTTTGTTAAGACTAAGTCTCCTGAGGATACAACTTACTTACTTATATATGTTGATGACCTTGTTATTACAGGATCAAATGAACAGTCGGTTGCACAATTAATTGAACATATGAGTGGCATGTTTTCCCTGAAAGATCTTGGTGAACTCTCCTACTTCCTAGGTATTGAGTTTACTACTATGGCATCTGGCTTGCTCATGACTCAAAGGAAGTATATTCTACAATTGTTAGAAGAAACTGGAATGGCAGCGGCTAACCATGCGTGCACTCCCATGGTTGCTAACTTACAGCTTAGCTCTTTTACTGGTGATTATCTACAGGACCCTAAAACATATAGAAGTGTTTTGGGCAAACTTCAGTATCTTTGTTACACTCGCCCAGACATTGCGTTTTCTGTCAATCGCCTAAGTCAGTATCTACATCAACCACAAGTTGATCATTGGAAATGTGTCAAACGCATACTTAGATACTTAGCAGGCACAGCAAACTATGGACTATTGCTTAAACCAGCCACAAACCTCAGAGTACAATCCTTTGCTGATGCAGACTGGGGAACTAACAAGGATGACAGAAGGTCAATCAGTGGTTTTTGCACGTTTCTTGGGCCCAATCCTATCACATGGGTCTCTCGAAAACAACAAATTGTATCACGTTCAACCACTGAGGCTGAATATCGCAGTGTTGCAGATGCAGTCACTGAAGTTATGTGGGTCATGGCATTACTCAAAGAAATGCATATTCAAACAATTTGTCCTCCGTTAGTCTGGTGTGATAACTCGCAGTGTTCCTCCCTCGCAATTTTTATTAATGGTACATATGTTTTTTTTTAAAATTGAGAATTAAATAGAGTAATGTTCATTTGAAAAAAGAATTATTAGAAAATAAAATAATCACCCATTACTTTGAAAAATTGCTTTGATCAAATTTGTTATAATGTTTAGGCTAAAATAATATTAAAAAAATCCCAACATTTAAGTCGTCTATAGATAACCTCCATATAGCATTTCAAATTTGAAAGTTAACCTCCCCAAATTTTTTTTTTTTTACCTTTTCACAAAGTTTAAAGGAAAAATTAGGAAAAAGAATCCGTTAAAATTTTTATTGGTGAGAACGATATAGATCAGAGTATTGGTGCTTTGTATATGCACTAAATATAGAGTAGTTCTCTTTCAGAAAAAAATCATAGTTAGCAATAACCCTAAAAATTATAGGCTTTGAGAAAGAGCCACTTTCGGCTTGCGGCAGAAGCCAACGCTAGCAAAATCCAATGTTATAATTAACAAGTTTTGGATTGTTTATGCTAGTGATTTTTATTTATGCCACAATTTTTGATCTCTTTAACTAACAATATGATGAGGGGTTTTCTGGGTATTTTATTTCTTTGAGGAAAGCATAATTTTACAGGTTAAAATTCATTTGTTGAGGATATTTCGGCCACTACATAATTTTATTCTTAATTTCGCAGTCGATATCTATTAAGTAGATAATTTATTTTGTCCGCAAAGAAAAAAATTACTTTTGTATATATGTAAATCAAATTACGAAATTTTGTCCACTCATTTATATACTACAGGGTGTTGGGCATTCAAAAACTACTTTTTCACATCAAATTTTGCCCTATGAATTTTTTTGAACAATCAACCTTTTAGATTTTGCTTCATTGTTTCATTAATTAATTGATTTAGAAGAATTTAGAAGGTTGAAGATTCAAATTAATTTTTAACACAGTGGCTGAGATGTAGTAAAGACTGAATTAGAGGAGATGAGAAAAAAATCTTTGATTATACTTATGTATTAAAAATTTAAAAAATTAAAATAAAACGTATCCTCACTCCCACTTTCACATTTATTTTCTTATACTTCTCTAGTCATATTTACAAGTCACTCCAACGTGTTTCATACAGAAAAGGAAAAATCTTAAACTTTATTAACTCATTTAAAATTTAATAATTTTTTAATTTTATCTCTATTTAATACACATTATACTTCGCGTAAGCAAAGTCAATATAATAATAAATGAAAGATAAAATTGTCTATCCATACAAAAAATTTCTCTCCTATAAATAGGACTAAAAAACTTCTTTTTCTGCCCTTATAAATAGGACTAGAGGAGTATGGTACTAGAATCCTAAAAAGAGGAAGGAATTAAAAAAATTGCAATTTAATATGCACATTTATAATTCGTTAAAGATGAATTGATATATTTGTTTGGAATGCAGGATAAATATGTTGGCAATAGAGATCATGGAATTTTTACACCACCATTGCACCCATGCAATTTGAGAGATGAATATTGGACTTATTTCAAACTTAAAGTCACTATTTTCTGCATCTATTGCCTCATCAATGTCACTTTTAGAAAGATTGAAAGTGATCGACTGTGATGAACTGGAGCATATAGTGATAGAGGAGGTGGACGGTCATCATTATCATATGAATTCCAACCCTATGTTCCCCAACTTACGCACAATTGAAATCGAGGAATGTGACAAGTTGGAATGTGTATTTCCAGTTTCTTGTTCTTGGAATCTTTGCATATCTGGGAGGCTACCCAGCTAAAATATGTGTTTGGAAAATCTTATGGTGATGATAACTCACCTCACCCAAATCAAAATATTGAGATTTATCTCCCAGCTATCAACAAACTAAGCTTAAAGGGGTGCCAGATATGGTATGTGTCCTGAAAACTATTATGTGAAAGCATAATCACTAGAAGGTGTCATTTTGGATGCATCTCCAGAACTTCCTATAAACTCTTTTATAGATGTATCAATGGAGGAGCATAAAGGACACGAACAACTCTCAAGGAAAAAGGTAATTAATTATTTTCCAACAGTTGGTTAATGATTATTGATTCATTGCTTTGTTCTTTGATAATAACATACATATATTGTGATATGATACAGCCAAGCGGGATGCGCTTGTGCAATTTGAAACATCTTTCTCTGGCATCCTTGGAAGTGGAAACAATTTATGATCCGGAAAGACTTCAGACTACAAGTCTTGTGAATTCAAGCTTGAAGACCCTGAGTTTGGAAAACTTGGATGGGTTAAGAAACATATGTGTGGGACCAAAGAATGTGCATTTGAGCTTTCAAAATCTTTTCAAGCTAAAAATCAATGGATGCGATCAGCTGAAATTTGTCTTGCCTGCGTCTATCTCGAGAAGCCTACCATGTTTGAGACACCTACAAGTATCAGATTGTGGAAAGCTAGAGCACATCATTGAGGAGGATGATGACGAAGAATGTTGTTTCCCAAATCTCCATAGGATTATTGTGGATGACTGCCAGAGGTTGAGATGCCTGTTCTCTATCTCCGCATGTGGTAGCCTTCCACAACTCTTGATGTTGGTTATATTAGATGCCCCAGAGCTTGAGCAAGTATTTGGAGGAAAGCAGGGCTCAACACAAGAGATGCACCCAAGAATGTGTTCCCAAAGCTATTTGTGATAGATCTTCACTGCCTACCAAAACTTCATAACATCTGCCCTTCAATTGATTTCCAGACCGTGATGTATCGTCATGTGCTGGATTGTCCCAATATCTCCTTAACTTCAACTAATAATGAGCTCCTAGACAGTAAGCATCTGAAAGAACTAATTAATTGTTTACAATAATTGCCATATACTTGCTATGATTTTTCTCGCTCTAATATACATTTGGAATTGTTTTGGTTGGTTAGGATATATGCGATGGTTTAGAGAATCTGAGAGGAACAAGGGCAACGTGGATGTGGGTGATCTTGTTGAACAGCTTGTTAATGTAAGTACCAAAATAAATATAACAATTTATGTTTACAAATCAAACTTTCATGTTTAAAAGTTGAATTGCGTATTGTTTAAGTCGAATTGGTAAAAATTTTCAGCACCTAGCTCTGTGATTAATTTTATTAATTGAAGCCTAAGGTTGATTTTTTTAAAAGAAATACTTAAAAAAACGTCTCATCTAATATACCATCTAATCATGTTCATGGATATGTTTAATTATGGCACAGAGGCTGAGAGAAGTAGTAGAGAAGCTTATAAAGGGAGACCGACCGGCAGCAGAACAAAGCAATTGATTCATCAAATGTATGTATACTATACTTTTCTATAATCTAAGAAGCCAGCAAATATTTCTTTCTTACTTATTATCTTTCTTATTGCTTATAAATTTTTGGTGCAATATTAAAAAATAAAATCCAGAACTTTTTAATTCCTTTGTGGTCTCCTTTATGTTACAGATGAAGGAAATAACAGAGGCAAGCGATAAGGAAAGCCCAGAAACAAAGGAAGCTGCAGAAGCTGATGAAGTCAAGTTTTCTGTTTTTTTGGTTTTCCATCTCTTTAATCTCTGGTCCCAGTAAGCCTCAAATAGTAACTTTAAGTACTGAAACAAAACCAAAGAATTCATCATCAGACCTATTAGATATTTACATTACTAAATCTACACAACTGTCTATAGTTTATTGCATTGCTTTTCCGATATAATGTTTTTCCTTTGAAACAATTAATAATATATTTTTTTATGATTACCATTTCTAACCCCACTTTCATTTAGAGTCCTCTAAGTTTCAAGGAAAAAAATTCTTATTTTCTTATTGGATTCTGTTTGTAAGAATAATGTTTGTTTATTCTGATTCACTTCAGGATGAGATTAAAGTCGCTGAATCAGAGACTTGCATGCCTTTTGTGCCTAAACAACATGAGGATGACGATCTAATGAGATTATTCCGAATAATAGAGGAAGGTGCCGACAAAGTCAACTTACCTTATGCATCCAAGATTACTGCTCATGAATATGATAGCGAGGCGACTAAGGCTGTTGCTGACTTGGAAGCCTCATTGAAGATGGGTTTGAATGAAATAGCTAGCTCTAAAGAAAACAGACTTTGCCTCGAGAGTGCTTTCAACACATTGTCCTCTCATTGTTCTCATGATGGTCTTAAAGCTGCAATACATTCTTTGGAACAAGAAATATAAACTATTTTATCTTCCTTCAAGCAAGCCTATGCTATGATTGACATAATGACCAAGCTAGAACAAAATGAGAAGCTAGTGATCGGACAACATTCGCAACGAAAAGAAGCAGCCATGACTCTTTTATCTGAAATTTACAAGACTCAGAATTTTACGGTTGAGGCTCAAACAAGGGAAGCACAGTTGAAGGGACAAATCTCTAAGTTGCAGGTTGAAGTGTATAGCAAAGAAAAAGAAATCAAAGAGTGTGAAATCAAACTGTTGTCTCTTCAGCGGCAAAAGAAAAAGAGCGTTTCTGATACCATCGGATTCATAGAAGAGTTGGAAGCAATGAAGAAAAAAAGGTCTCACATGGTGGATGACCAAATAAAAGCAAGGCATCAACTAGAGAATGTGAATTCGAAGTGGTCTTCTTGTACCGCCAATTTGAAAAGAATCTCATTACTCTTAGGAATTCACCTTAAGCAAAAGCTTTGACTGTTAGAGACTGTCATTTGAATTACCCAAGAATACATTAAAAAAAGCTCTAGACTGTAGCCAATATTGGGTAGTTATGTATGTATTTTGTGCTTTTCTGCATTATCATTGTGGTGATTTTCACTATGTTGATAGTGACCGTTGGTTGAGTTTGTATCCCCTAAAATATGTCATAAAAAAAGTATGTTATAGAAGCAATTCTGTCGGTCCAGCTAAAATGCTCACATCAGATTATGTTGTTAACACTAGCACATTAAATAAAATTAGTATTTATTCTCTAAGGGTCAAGCTTCACAGGCATTATGATTGAAGTTGAGGGAGGGAAGATGAACACAAAGCAGCTAAGGGGAAGAAAAACATGGAGAGAAAAAATATGTTCAGAAGTTATGTTGAGCAAAAGGTTTCCACAGAAGAAGAGTTCTAAAGTTTTTCTTCCTCAGCCATTTGAAGGAATCATTCATCGCTTGTTGGTTAATGTTCTTCCTCCAACCTGTTGAAGAAAACGCCTTGAGAAGTGAGGGGGCTAAAGCTAGATGACGCTACTGTTTCTGTCAAATATGATCACTAGAGAGAGAGAGAGCAAAACAAGAGATTTGAAATGATCCAAAAAAAGAAAAACAAAGAAGAGGATTGCCCCTGGCCTCTATCACTACCATGCTCTGAATGGCCGTCCAAGTGAGCTGTTGATGTGCTGTTATTTTCTACTCTAAAACTTGTTAATACATGTTGTTCAGTTGTTACTATACTTTTTAACAATTATTTTCCTTCATTGGGTTTTTCCACATATTTATCAATGTTTGGAATTCCAAGGTGTTGGAGAGATATACAAATCCTTTAATTTAAAAAAAAAATGAAAGTAAGGACTTGAAGCAACACACGCTGTGAGACATACACTCAGGATATGTGTATGCATCCAAGAAACTACAGTTTTGCAAGGCATCTTTCAAGATTGGCATCATTACCTTCTTCCTCAGATTTCCTTTTCATTCAGAGATCAGTGGAATTTTTAGGAACCGGCTGCTGATACATCAGTTTATTTTCTCTCTCTGCAGAGGTAGCCTGTGCTGGTTCTGCTATTTAGTTGAAAATGTTCCTACTGTCTCATCATCCCCAAGGGCAATCCTGTGCTCCTTGTCTTCCACTCATGATATGTTTGTGCATTCAAGAAACTACAGTTTGGCAAGGAATCTTCCAGGATTCTATCTTTCGAAGGCTAAAATGAAGATGAATTCCTCAAATCCTTGCTTGACACTACCGCTGCTTAAGATGCCCAAAATAAAGTATCCACTCGTTGTTCCATGGGAATTGAACGTCATAAGATTTTTATTACAAATTGAACATATCTTTTATGTGAAGAAAGTCTTTACGAAGTTCTTTTTTCCCCCCTAAAACTGAGACGGGCATGCTTTGATCGCGCAGTTTCTCAATTGCCTTATTGAGAACAGGGTATATATTTAAGAATCTGCAGTGTCACTGTTTATATAAAGTGCCTTAGATAGGCTGGAATTCTACATTTTTCTTTGCCCCTTATTTGATTTTTTTTTTTTTAAATCATTTGGTGTCTTTTCTTAAACTTGAAAATCTGCAGGCCAAGCGAAAGGAAGCCTGGTTGACTGGCAAGCTGCGGAAATTTGAGGTACCAAAATCCCCAGCAGAAACATATGATCCAGAAATTCTGACAGAGGAAGAGATACATTACCTGAAGCGTACTGGTGAGAAAAAGAAAAACTATGTTCCAGTCGGGAGACGAGGAGTGTTTGGCGGGGTAGTTCTGAACATGCATCTTCACTGGAAGAGGCATTGGACAGTTAAGGTTGTCTGCAAGCCTTGCACTGGAAATGATATACTTCATGATTCGTTGTTATAAAAATTAAATGTCTTGCATACAAGCCATCTTTTTCCGAGTCCTTATATACTATGGTTTTAAGGAGTGATTTGTATCGTTTTAGCTATCTAAATTCATATTCATCAGGAGCATTTCATTACGCTTGATTTATTAAATGCTCATCATATTCTAGGCTTGGTGGTTTGATATGATAGATGACAATATGAAATAGTGCAGGACTAACCCAGAGTCTTACACTGGAAAATATTCTTAATAGATGGCCATATGAAATAGTGCAGAACCAACTCATAGTCTTACACTGGAAAATATTCTTTTTTACGAGTGTCTGACACTACTGTTTTACCTTTTTTCTCGAGCTCATAATAACACTTTTTTTTATAATTTCACTAACCTTAATTCCCAGGCCTTGGAGAAATATAGATATGGGCAGTCGCTTGGGCATACAAGCCTGCTCATTGAGAAGCTGGAGAAGGAGCTAGAAGAGTTCCATCAACACCTTGAACAATTTAGAAAAGGGAGAGAGCACCTGAAGAATAAAGATGCTATGCGTGAGTATCATATTACCTGATTGACAACTTGCATGGATGATGCTTGTTTCGATAGCCCAAAGGGGGCAAAAAAGCTCTCAATATATGCCTTTTTCTCGTTTCTAACTTTCTGAAGATTCGGTCTAGATATTTAATTGTTTTATATGATCAACCTGATGTTCTGAATCTACTGAGAAACCTTCTAACAGTTTTTTTGTTATTTTTTTTTTTTTGTGGTAATGTCAATCAGGAAGAGCAGAAGTAAAGAAGCAAATTATGACAAGTGGAAACTACCTAAATTAAATGTTGAAACAACGTGTTGTTCTAGTGCTCCTTTTGGCGGGCCATATTATTGAATGTTGCGGTTTTATCTCTGGGAATTGGGGCAGGGTAATTCTGCTTTTCCAGACCTGAGGTTCACGTACATGAGCAATGGACAAAACGACTTTGTTGTCTTGAGGAAATGTAACCATGCAAGTCGTTCTTTGACGTCATTCTGGGCCAGTATCGTAATTTGACATTAGGTCGCCATTGTTGGTGATCAAGCTGTACAATATCCCATTTGGAATGGTTTATAAATAGCTTTCTAATTATGACTTGCGGAATACGAAATAAACATATGTAAAGAGTTTTGTCTCAATTTATATCAAATATACTTTTAAGTTCTTATATTGATACCAAACAGACTAGGACTATTAAATAGAGCTGTGATAATAGAATTTAACAATTACAGCGTGAAGAATAAAACCAAATTTGTTGTCGTTTTTATCTTTCTATGTGGCCTCATTTAAGAGGCCAAATATCTATTTTCCAAATTTGTAACACCACAAATTCACCACTTATTCCGTACTCCCTTTGTTTTTTTTTTTTCTTTTGAAAATAAGTTTTCTTCACATTGCTCCTGTGAATAAAAATGGTTTCGGGAAAGATCAAATATGCCTTCCTTTAACGTATCAAAAGCCAAGCATCCATTAAACTATATATGAAGAAATACCTTTTTTTAAATGTAAAATTGTGTCCTACAACTATATATGATACCTTGCTTCAGTGTTCTGAAAGTAAAGCCTCCGTGAAAATTAAATCATTTAGTCCCTCCAGTCCTTATCACTCGCATCTAAATACCTCTTCAAAACTGAGGAGAGGAGGCTAACTCTTTAACTTTGCCTCGAAGTGAAAGATTTTTTTCAACTTTATTCTTACTTAAGAGCATGGGAATCACTTTACTAGTTAGTAAAAGGTACCATAATTATGGGAAAGCAAAGCTAAATGCATCAAAGTATTTCTCAACAAATTTAGTAAAATGTTGTCTTAGAAGATAATACCTTCAAAGTTTCAAAAAATGAAGCATCCATTAAACCATCTATGAAGTAATATCTTAAAGAATAATACCTTACTTCAATGTTTCAAAAGTCAAGCCTCTAATCCATAAACCAAGTTACCAGATTCTATTGTTCATTATTCCTCCGGTCCATAATATAATAAGTTAGCTTCTCTCACATACCAAAAAATAAAAGTTTAATCATTAAATGGGTTCTCAAAAAATAAAGTTTTACTATTTTACCCCTAAAAATGACAAAATGGCCTTTAATATTACACTTTTATTACCTCTCATCTCTCTCCTCTTTCTCTCTTATATTTAATGGGGGTGAAAGTGAAAAAATCACATTAATTATCTTGACAACATCTCACGTTTTGGATCACAATTTTCTTCTAACTAACAGCTTATATTATTGACCGTGGGGGTATAAAAATATACATTCTAAAGTTGTAAGAGTTCTACGTCACAATTTGAAGTTCAGGGTTTGTCAATTCTCACATTCAATCATTGCAATTTCTTTGCCAATTCTCTCGTTCAATCATTACAGCTTCTGCTTCTGCAAATCAGTTTCCACACTCCCTTTGGATCCTTCTTTTTGATTTTTCAGTCCATTAAAGGTTGTTCTTTTTCTCCTATATTTTTCCAAAAACCGAAAAAAAAAAGCCTTCTTCTTTTGCAACACTGATTTCCTTGTAGTTGATTTCTTCATTTATTCTCATCTCTGTCATTGTTCTATAGTTGTTCTTCACCTCATTCCCAAAAAAAAAAGCCTTCTGTTATCAAATATTCTACCCAAATATTTCAATTTCTGCTTGTATTTAATACTTTTCGTGCCCCTTTTTCTGTGTCTTTGAAATCTTCCATTGATTCTTCTCTCCGTTATTCATTGTTGGTTTCGTTATTCTTAAACACAAAAAAATCCAAAAATTAAGAAAAACAAGGTTGAAAAAAAACAGGAGGCTTTCATATCCTAGGCATTGTTACGGAAAGGCACAGAAGTCTCTGGAGGAGAGGTAATTTTTGTATTCCATGATACTTTTGAAATTTTGTTAGTATGTGTATTTGCATTTGACGTTTTTGTTGTATATTTTAGTCCATTAAAGTATTTAAATTAATAACAATGTCTTTTCAGCTTATGGAAGATGAGTAGTATTTAAATTTAAGAGAGCATCGAAATTTGTGTGAATATATATATAGTTTTTATCTTATTTGTACTTTGATGTTTTACATGATTATATTGTTAATCTCTTAAAACTCTCTCATTTTTATTGATCAAGTCTGAAAATTGAAGATTCTCACAGCCTTAGTGCGTTTGCTTGCATCCAAGTTAGTATTGCAGATTTTCATAGCCTATTCTGTAAATTAAAAAATGACCCTGATGGTCGATCAATTATTAATATAATGCATAATATATTGCCATTGATATGGTTTGGGATCCTACAGGAAAAAATTCCCAATTTATGTCGCTATGAATTTTAATTGCCTAAGATAAAAATTTGTGGAAATGTAAAGAGAAAAGGAGGAAAATACAAAGTAAAATAAAATAATTAAAAAAGGAGAGAAAAACATGCGTAGGTTTATTGAATTTTTTAAAAAAGTTAAATAATAAAAAAAAAATTTCACGTGTGAGTTTAATATTAGATTTTTTTTAATTATGATTTTTACTAAACATTATTAGACCATTGATAAAAACTAAAGTCATATTTTACATAATGTTCTTTGTAACACATATTTCACATAATGTTCTTCTTTATTTTCTCTTTCCTTCCCTTTTCTTTTTCATCTCGTGTTCTTGGCATCGCTTTATCTTTTCATATCTGAGTAGTGCTCTCTCTGAATATAGTTTTTTTTTTCCAAATGCGATAAAAATTTATATGCCTGAGTGTATATGTTGTTAGATAAAATTGTGTATAACTCTCTATAGGTAACTTTTTAATTAACAGTAATAAATTTTATTTTTCATCAAACAATACATTTTCCATTTAAATATTTTGGGTTATTCTTAATTAAATTATCATAAATATACAGAAGGGTGTATTTTTTAGTGTACCATAATTATGCATTATGCACGATTATTTAACACTTAAAGAATTATGTCTTGAATGGTGTTTAGTAAGTGTGGTTGTTAATACTTTGTATTTAACAATATAATTTTCAGTGCGTCAATCATTTATTAAGTTTTAACTCTCTTGACTCTTGAGAGGTTTGGGAGGAAACAAGACTTGTTAGTTCATTATAACTTTACTCTATTAATTAAATAGATAAATAGGCTTTTTACTTTTGGGTTAAGTTACATCTAGCATCTGAAAGTATTAAAATATTTTGTGATATATATAGCACCTTGAGTGTGTCCAGGATATAAAAGTATTTTTTTTCATCTAACAACCTAAAGTATTAAGGCAAAAAAAAAAATTTCAGGGTGTTGGACGGCTATATGCCCTTAAAAAATACTTAAGAGTATTAGATGCATCACAAAAATATTTTAGGGTGCTGAATATACCTAAAAAAAAAATTTCAGGGTGCTGGATGTATATTAACCTTTTACTTTTTGATATAGTGACTTTTTTAAAAAAAAACAGTGTCATTTGCTTTTTACTTCCTTCCCTGTTGAGCCTCTTGCAGCGCAACAACCAATCCTGTTGCTAATTAAATAAAACATGATTCACGTATCTAATTTTGTTTTTAATTCACTCACCCTATTTTGCTTTAAAAAAAATTCATTCACCCTATTCTTATTTTTAGATAAATTTAATATATTTGAACATATAACAAACTCAAAATTTGAATACCAAAAATAATGTTTAATTTTAATGTGTTCCCACAATCTAAAATTTCTGGGTCCCTTGCTGGCACATGTAATAATAGGCTCATACCCTCTGTTGCATTTTTGCGCAGGAGAGAGAATAGTTTCTTATCTTATTTATGCTTCCATCTCTTATATATTCATATAGCTAATATCTTAGACTTTCTCATTTTTATTTCGCAGATCTTGGCTCGTTAAATTAAGCGAAGCTGATATTGGCATACTTCATTTGCTTGCATCCAAGTTAGTATGGATGTTCATAATTTTAATTTATCGATCCATAGATAATTTCGTAGCTTATTTTATCTATAAATTGAAGTAAACCTTTTTTGTTTGACTTTATATACTATGGTGACTCTCTTGACTTATATATAAATTGCTATCAACATGAGTTTGCTCATGATCATTGTTATTGCTCATGATCTTGACTTGTGAAGAAATCCAATAATTAGTTACTCATGAAATTTTAATATAACTAAGTCATGCTTCATAGATTTAAATCGTGGTAGTTGCCGAGGTTCTTACACATAAATTGCTATTTGATATGTTTCGGCTCATCATGATCATTAATTGCTATAGATTTGAGGATGAATATGCATCCTTTCTTAAGATATTATATAGATAGATGCACACTTAGTTGGGTGAAGAAGAGAAAGATGTCATATTCTTTCTATGATCTCACCCTCCTATTGAATAATATGGCTTTGATTAGTATATTATGATTTTAGATCATAGGATCTAGTTGATTTTGTAACTGTAATCCCATATGCATGGTAGATGGATATCTGTACCGGTGTTGCAACAACAATCATCCCAGACTTGCTACGTAAAACATGGGAGGAACTTCAGTATCAACGTAAACACAAGAGTTTTGTTCAAGACTTCAAAAGGGAGCAAGAAGAGTTGTTAGCTATAGTGAAAAGTGTAGAGCTAAGGATAGACGAAGCCAAGAAAAGAAATAAGACTCAGGTTGACCCTATAGTTGAACACTAGCTTAAAAGTGCCAATGAACTTTTACAGCAAGACACTAAACCAGCCAAATGCTTTGGCTTGTGTACAAATTGCTGCTCACAAATTGCACAAGCCAAGGAGTTGGAAAACTTGATGAAAGAGCGGATACCAAAAATGATCACTGAATTTAAAGAATTTCCTAAACAAGTAGCACGTGCTGCTAGAGTGCCAGGCATGGAATTCCATTCACAAGAGTTCATGCCCTTTGAGAGTAGAAAAGAACAGTTTGAGGAACTCAGAAAGAAATTAGAATATGAGAATAACTGCATGATAGGATTGCAAGGACTAGGAGGAACAGGGAAGTCCACAATGGCAATAGAAGTTGGGAAACAAGTCGAAAAATCAAAACTCTTTGATAAAGTCATCTTCACTAATGTGTCTACCCCTGTGGATGAAAAAAGGATTCGAGATGATATTGCAAAGAAATTAGAGTTGCAATTAGAGGAAGAGATGCCAATGAGTCTTGCGCAACAAATATGGACCAGGATTGCTCATGTTGGAAAGGTGCTCATAATACTTGATGACGTATGGGAAGAACTCGATCTTAAGAACATGGGGATTCAACCTGGCTTTCATATCAAGGGTTATTGTTGTGTTCTGCTAACTACACGTTCTTTGACTGTTTGCAACAAAATGGGATGCCAAAAGACAATTCAATTAGATGTCTTGCCTATAGATGATGCATTGAATCTTTTCTTATCTCATACTACTGCAAGGGGAAATGATTGTCCTGGTGATTTGAAAAAGTTGGCACAAGATATTGTGAATGAGTGTGGAGGATTGCCCATTATGATTGTAGCAGTGGCAAAGGCCTTAAAAAGCTTGTCTCTACAAGAATGGCAGTCAGCTTTGACTGCATTGAAAAACCCCATGCCTTCAAGGCATGGTATTGTTGATGAGGATAAAAGAAAGATTTATAATTCTTTGAAACTTAGCTATGATCATCTAAAAGGTAAAGAAGCCAAAATTCTCTTCCTGTTGTGTTCTATCTTCCCAAAAGCTTATGAAATACCCCTAGAGCTTTTAAGCAGAATTGCTATAGGTTTAGGGCTTTTTGAAGAAGGCGACCAATACTACGTAGCAAGAAGTTATGCTAATGAGATTGAAAATGCACTCATAAATTCTTCTTTATTGTTAAAGGTTGGTGAAGTATATGTAAGGATGCATGATGTCATCCGTGAAATGGCCTTGGAAAAGATAGAAAATGAAAAAATTCAAGTGATCATGGATTCTAAGACAAAATTGAAGGAGAATGTGATGTACTCATCTTGGATCATAAGCAGCTTTCCCAATTGTTCTGATGATAGCAAAGTCGAGGTTCTCTTTATATGGATCAATGCCAATGGTTCTTTGGAAGTTCCAAATACAGTCTTTGGAGGGATGAAGAGTCTTAGAGTTCTACTTTTGAATTCAAAAATTGAGTTTGGTAGAACTTCAGCTCAATCGTTACCAAAATCAATTCAATCGCTAAAGCATATCCGAACACTATCTCTCACAAATTTGGAGTTGGATGACATATCAGTGTTGATGAGAAACTTAGAAAAGCTTGAGTCTCTGGAATTGACTAATTGTTCAATTATTGAATTGCCATATGGAATTAGTAAGCTAGATAAGTTGAGATTTCTAAGCTTGATACGTTGTTTGCTCAAAAAGAACAATCCATTTGAAGTGATTGCAAGATGCTTGCACTTGGAAGAATTGTATTATGTTTCAAATAAGGATCGTATCCCTATTGTTGCAGAGGTTCCTCAAATTACAGATCGTCCTAATTATCAAACATTCCATATAGATGGCAGCTACTTCTCTGCGTTTGATTCTTCTCAGCTGGATGCTTCAATAAAAAAATGTTTCAAGCCAGCCAGGTTGCAAACAATGTTCTCCAATGAAGTTATTAAATCTTTGACGGCAAGAGCAGAGATTCTGGATCTAAGAGAAGATGATAAAACAGGCTGGAGCAATCTTATTCCTGATATTGTTTCAATTGAAGATGATGGAGCCATGAAAGACTTAATCAAGCTTTCTTTGAAGAGATGGTCTAAGATGAAGTGTTTGATCTATACAAAGAATCTTCAACTTAAATCAGGAGTGACCATCTTCTCCAAGTTAATTGAACTGCAACTTGATGGAGTGGATGTGACAGAAATATGTTGTGGTCAGTATCCTGACAGTTTTCTCAAGCAACTGGAGAAGCTGGAGCTAATTGGATGTGAGAAGTTGGAAGGCACATTATTTAAAGGGAAGCTAGATTTGGGTAACCTTAAGTTCATAGAAATAAAGCATTGTTCAATGACTTGTTTTTTTCATCCATCCACTGCTCAAAGTCTAGAGAATCTAGAGACGTTGAAGATAGCTGTATGTTCTAAGCTGAAATACATAATAAGCGATGAGGGATCGTCAACAGCAAAAGAAGTGGATGATAAGGAACCTAATCCAATAAGGAGTCATGACTCAATGTTCCCAAAATTGAAACTACTCAATGTTGATAGTTGTGACGAATTGGAATTCATTTTGCCAACTTGTTTTTGCGAAGATCTTCCTCTATTGGAAGGTGTGGAGATTTCTCAATGTGAGAAGCTGAAATATATGTTTGGGCAATATTCAAAAGAGGGAGGTTTGCATCAAATGCAAAAAGAAAACGCACTCCCTAGTTTGAAAGTAATGTCTATTGAAGAAGTTCCATCATTTGTCAACATATATCAAGAATGTTATCTCCCAGAAAAATCCGTAGCAAATACGAGTGAGGGGTCAAAGCACAAAGACAAGAGTCCAAGTAGCAATGTTTCTTGGGGTCCTTTATGTTGTTTTCTGCCAAAATCAGAAACTGCAAACAATGATGAGTCATGTATTTCCACAACTCAGCTGAACCATACTACTTCACAGGTACATACATATGTTCCTCCCTTGCAGTTTTTATTGATGCTACATATGTTTCTTTGCAATGAGAATTAATTGAGCAGTGTTCATTTGGGGGAAAAAAAAATTAGAATAAGCAATCACCCATTATACTTTCAAAAATTGTGTTGATCAAATTGGTTATAATGTTTAGCGTAAAATATTTTTAAAAAGACCTAACATTTAAGTCATTTACAGAGAGCCTTTATATAGCATTTTTTTTGTATTTAAAATTAACCTCCCTAAATTCTTATCTTTTCACTTGATTTAAAAGAAAAATTAGGAAAATTCCTCCATTGAAAATTTTATTGGTACTTTGTACGTACAAATTTTACAGGGTATTAGTACTTTTATATATAAAAATTTATCAAATACTTCTCACTGATGAAATGAGGGGTCATTGTCTTCTTTCCGGAAATCCCATTTTATACTTTAGACTAAATATATAGAGTTCTCTTTCAAACAAATCCTAGTCAACAATATCACTAAAATTTTTAGGTATTGCAAAAGAGCCACTTTCGACACACCACCAGCAAAACCCACTTAAATTCATTTCTATATGTTCATAAAATTTTATATGAAAATATATAAATAAATTTAAACCATTAAAATTTGATTTGAACATTTTGTTAAAATTTGATATAAACAGTTAACAACTTAAGTGAAAAAATAAAATGTTTTAATAACAGTTTACAATTATGAACTACATATTTTCATACACAATTATGATAATAATTTTATGAAACATTAAATCTAAATGGTTAAAATCATAATCAATGGTGATGAGAATGGGAAAAAGAGGAAAAACAGAGTAAGGGTAAAGGACAGAAGCCAATTTCGTGGTTTTTGTGCCACAAGTTTTGGTTTTGTTAACTGACAAATAGATCTATAATATAAAAAGGGTTTTCTTGATTTTCTTTTCATGAGGAAAGAATATTTTGGCAGGTTTAGTTTCATTTGTTGAGGGTATCACGTCCCTTTTTTTTTCCCCTTTTACTGTTGAAACTTGGGCCAGAGATATTGTAATTAAGATTTTTCTTTTATTGGGATCAACTGAAGATGAAGAAAGATGGTGTTTGTGTGAAAATCCAGCATTACAGAAAACTTATATATTCCAAATATGTTTTGTAGAATAATTTATATGAAATATATATTGCTGTGGCATCTGTCTCTGTTTTTTTAATCATACTTCAATTTATACAACTTTATTCTATAACCTCATGGTTCATATCTATTAAATGGATAATTTATTTTGTTTGCGAATAAAAATTTCTCCACATATGTGCTACAGGGTACAGGGCATCCATAAATTATTTTTTCTCACATTACAATAACAATGAAATTTTGAACAATTAACCATTTTTAAATGTTGCTTCATTGTTTATTAATTAATTGATTGAGAAGAATTTAGAAGGTTGGAAATTGTTGGCAAGAAAGAAAAAGGAGGTTGGAAATTTAAATTCATAATAATTTTCTAATATAGTGGCTGAGACGTAGTGAAGATTAAGTTAGATGAGATGTGGAAAAAAAAAATCTTTGATTATACTTATTTATTTTGAAAAATTGAAATAAAATGTCTATCCGCTCTCACTTTCACATCCGTTCTCTTATGGTGCTACGACTCTTAGGAGACAAACAAAAAAGCTGCAATTTAATATACACATTTGTAATTTGCTAAAGATGAATTGATATATTTGTTTGGAATGCAGAATAAATATGTTGGCAATAGAGCTCATGGAATTTTTACACCACCGTTATACCCGTGCTATTTGAGAGAGGTGAATATTGGAGGCATTTCAAACTTAAGGTTACTATTTTCTGTATCCGTTGCCTCATCAATGTCACTGCTAGAAAAATTGACAGTCTGGAGGTGTGATGAACTGGAGCATATAGTAATGGAGGAGGTAGATGGTCATGATCATATGAATGGTCCAATTTTCTTTCCCAACTTACGCACCATTGAAATAGATTCATGTGACAAGTTGGAATCTCTATTTCCAGCTTCATGTTGTACAAAGCTTGTGCACTTGGAATATGTGGATATCCAGGGGGCTAGAGAGTTGGAATATGTGTTTGGAAAATCTTGTGGTGATGATAAGTCACGTCAACAGAATCAGAATTGTGAGATTCATCTCCCAGCTCTCAAGAAACTAAGCCTTAAAAGAGTACCAAATATGGTGAGTATGTGCCCTGAAAAATATTATGTGGAAGCATCATCTCTAGAAGCTGTCGATTTGGGTGAATGTCCGCAACTTCCTATAAACTCTTTTATAGATGTATCAGTGGAGGGGCATGAAGGACAAGAACAAGTCTCGAGAAAAAAGGTAATTAATTATTTTTCAACCATTAGTTTATGATTATTGATGTATTGCTTTGTTCTTTGATAATAACATGATACGATACAGGTAATCGGGGTGCGCTTGTGCAATTTGAAACATCTTTCTTTGGCATCCTTGGACATCGTGGAAACGATTTACGATCTTGAAAGACTTCAGATTCCAAATCCAGTGAATTCAAGCTTGAAAACCCTCAATTTGGAAGACTTGGATGGGTTAAGAAACATATGTGTGGGACCAAAAAATCTTCAACTAAGCTTTCAAAATCTTTTTAAGCTAATAATATATGGATGCGATCAACTGAAATTTGTCTTGCCGGCGTCTATCTCAAGAAGCTTGCCATGTTTGAGACATCTAGAGGTATCAAATTGTGAACAGCTAGAGCGCTTCATTGTGGATGATGATGATGAAGAATGTTGTTTCCCAAATCTCCATAGGATTATGGTGGAAGACTGTAAGAGGCTGAAATGCCTATTCTCTATCTCCACACGTGGCAGCTTTCCACAGCTCTCGTTGCTGTTTATATCAGATACCCCAGAGATGGAGCAAGTATTTGGAGGGAAGCAGGGCGCAACACAAGAGTTGCACATCAAGGCTGTGTTCCCAAAGCTATTTGTGATAGATCTTCGCGATCTACCAAAACTTCATACCATCTGCCCTGCAATTGATTTCCAGACCGTGATATTCCGTCAAGTAGAAGATTGTCCCAAGCTCTCTTTAACTTCAACTGATAATGCTGACTTCATTGGTGGTAAGTATCCAAAAGATTATTTAATCATATATTTACGATTGCTATATAATTGCTATGGCTTTTCTCATTATAATATATATTTGGAACTGTTTTGTTTGGTTAGGCTATTTGAAGTGGTTAGAGGAATCTGAGAGTAAGAAGGGCAACATGGATGACGATGATCTTTTTGAACAGCTTCTTAATGTAAGTACCAAAATAAAATGGGTCAATCCAAGGAAAGAGAAAGCACGAGGAGACAGGACAATGAACGATCCATACACCAAACTTAAATAAACTTAATGGGCCCCTTCTTCTTGAACCCATGGCCTATCATTACACCATTTTTATTTTTAGTTTCAATGTTTTATTATCTTTTCAAATTCACCGTGCATTGTCCGGGACAAATTGTTTTCATATTTTTTATCAGTTATATTAAAAAAAATTGAATAAACAACTTGTCATTTCATTTAACCCATGGAAAAAATTACTTATAAGTCTCATCAAGAAAATTAAATATATAAATGTCCCAAAAAATTCATATTTTACATATCAAATTTGTATATTTACAAATTAAATTTAACCGTTTGTGTTTACAAATCAAACTTTTATTTTTACAAGTTGAATTGGATCATTTTTAAGTCAAATTGGTAAATCTTTTTTAGCACCTGGATCTCTGTGATTAATTTAATTAATTGAACCCTGAGGTCATTTTTATAGAAATATTTTTAAAAAGAGTAAAGATGTAATTTTGCTTTTGATCTTATTTTTAAGTGTATCCGGCACCTCGATTTTTTTAATGGTGCAAAAAAAATTATTGGTAAAATCACCGGAAATAGGGCTAAATTTTCACCTTTTTACCCTTTTGAAAAATGTCTCATCTCATGGACCATCTAACCATGTTTACGGATATGTTCCAGAGGACAAGAGAAGTAGCAGAGAAGGCTATAAAGGGAGATCGACCAGCAGCACAACAAAACAATGGTTCGTCAAATGTATGTATACTATAGCCACCAAATACATTCTTCTCTTACTTATTGCCTTTCTTATTGCTCATAAATTTTTGGCGCAATATTAACAAATTCCTATATGTTACAGATTGAGGAAATAACAGAGGGAAGTGTTGAAGAGCGTCCAAAACCAGAGGAGGCTGCAGAAGCTAATGAAGTGAAGGATTCAGAACAAACCAGCAACAAACCTGCTCCTCCACAAGTAAGATTATCATATTTTAAAATACGAAACCATTTGATTTTCCTCCAACAAATCGTCTTCTCAAGTAAGTTTATACTTTATGGCCTTAATTTGAGTGATCGGTGTTAGACTACTGCTAGACAACACGCGCATTATAAATTCATCATACTTCACACTTTTCTAACATAAAATAGTTTTACTTAAACGTCAAACAGTTCCACATTTTATTAACTTATTGTAAGTTGATGGAGTACCCAAGCAGTAAAAAATGAAACTGTTGAACAGGCTCTTCTTTCTGATACACCAGCGACAACAACACCATCCAGCAATTCAGATATGATATTTTAAGCGAAAATGCCCAACAAACACCTTCACTTGTTTTTATACATTGTAAAATTTAGTTAGCTAGTAAAGAATATTGTCGATGAAGAGATGGTGCTAGAACTCACAGCAAGCTAAATTACTTCTTTGTACTATGCAACAAATTATAAAGGAAACATTGAAGTCAACCTCTCAGGATGGCTTTAAACCAGATGAAGCTCCCAGAACAAATGAAATCATGAGTCCACATGTAAGAACATAGTCTTTCCCGATATATAGATTGAAGTTATGGTAAATGATACAATTTTGTGGTGCTTTTTTGATATTTGTGTTCATTTAGGATAATAAGAATCGCATTTTGGGTGAGGGCAAGAGAATCACACATGATGCACTACAAAAAACAGAACGTATTATACATCTTCGTGATTCACAAAAGGTTAATTAACAATCTACAAAAGACTATATATATGCATTATAATGTTTTATTGTCACACAAACAAGAAATTGATGGCATGCAATGCGGAGCAGAATATTGAAGCAAGTATCAAAGAAACAGCAAATAAAATTGAAACAAGCTCTCCATTGGTAAATAATTACTATTCCCATTTACTTCTGTTTGATTTTTGCACTATTTTTACTATTTGAGACGGCATTTAAATTTCCTAAAAAATTATTCAATAAAAAGTTTTTTTATGGAAGTTGGATTGTTATGTATGTATTCTTTGTTCCTTGCATTATCGTTATATTTATTTCACAATGTTGATAGTTATCATTGCTTCTCCTACTTATTCTCACAAGATGAACTACTTTAAATAAATAAATAAATTATTTTAGTTATCCTTTATGTCATAATAATAGTTTAAAATAAATCTATTGACGGTCAATAAGTCTTCCAAATTTTAATGTATATATGTTTACTTTTTAATTAAATATATTTTTCTCACATTATTATTTATATTTAAATTAAGTTTATTAAAAATTAAATTTACATGGCCCGGCTGAAACACATAAAATATCATTTTCAAGCTAACACTCCGGAAGATTAATTCACGAGTATTTTAAAAACCACTCTAGGATTCAAATTAACTTGATTTAGAATAGCAATAAAAAGTTTTCAATTTTCTTAGAAAATATTAAAGTTATTATTGATAATCAATAATTTCACTTCACCAACCATTACTTCAAAATTGTATTTATTTTTCTTTATTGTACAAAGTTTCGAAATACTATTTATTTTCTTATTTTTGGTCAGCCACAAGGGGTAGTGGCCTTTAACTATTTGTTTGGATGACAAGAGTCCTCTTACTCTGTAGCGATAATTATATTTAGCATGCATAGCATATCAGAAGCACGCTCAACTCTGATTCAGATATGCAAAAGACAACAACAAATATATTTCTCTCTTACTTATTACCTTCTTCATTGCTTCCAAATTTTGGTACAAGATCATTAGATTAAGTCCAGAACATTTTAATTTCTTTGCGGTCTCCTATAATGTTACAGATGAAGGAAATAACTGAGGCAAGTGAAGAAAGTCCAAAATCAGAGGAAGCTACGAAAGCTGATGAAGTGAAGGATACAGAACAAACCAACAAACCTGCACCATTTTCTGCTCCTTCACAAATTGAATCTCCACAAGTAAGATTATCATATTTTACAATACGAAACAAATGAATTAAATATATGCGTCCTTCTGAACATTCATAGATACATGTTTTCAGTTGCATTTCAAGGATCCACAATCAAAACCATTTGAACTTTCTTCCAATATAGCATCTTCTGAAGTAAGTCTACACTTTATTGCATTATTTTGAGTGATTAATGTTAGACTTTAACAGCTTCAAAACACATGCATTATAAGTTCATCATACTTTAAAATTTCCTAAAATGAGTAGACTTGCACAAACATCAAATTGTACTTCTCTCCATTAACATATTGTGAGTTCATGGACTACCAAAGCAACAGCAAATGAAATTGTTAAACAAGATCCTATTTCTGATATACCAGCAACAACAACACAGATATTCAGCAAATCACCAACAAACATCGTCACATGTTTTTATATATTGTAAAATTTAATTACCTAGACAAGAATATTGTTGATGAAGAGATGGCGCGAGAACTCACAGCAAGCTAAATGACTTCTTTAATTTCTGCTATGCAACAAATTATAAAGGAAACATTGAAGTCAACCTGTCAAGAAGGTTCTAAATCAGATGAAGCTCTCAGAACAAATCAAATCATGAGTCCAGAATCAAGCAAGCCATCACCAACAACATTGGTTGGTCCTTCAGAAAATGAGCATCCACATGTAAGAATATAGTCTTTCTTGATATAAGATGAATTATTATGTTAAATGATATAATATTATGGTGCTTTTTGCATATTTATGTTCATTTAGGACAATATGGATCACATTGAGGGCGAGGGCAAGAGAATCACACTTGATCAACAAGAACTGCCAAACACAGAACCTGATATGCTTCTTGCTGATTCACAAAAGGTTAAATAACAACCTACAAAAGACTATATATATGTATTATAATGCTTTAGTGTCACGAATACAAGAAACTGATGTCATTTGATGCTGTGCAGAATACTGAAGCAAGTGTTGGAGAAACATCAAATAAAGTTGCAATGTCAACTCGATCAATTACTACTACTGAAACGACCTCTCCACTGGTAAATAACAACTCTTTTCATTTACCCTTGTTTGATTGTTGCACTATTGGTACTTTACTATCTTTGGTTGAAATTAATTTTTTGATTTTTCTGGTTTTGGATCCCTTCAATCCCTACATCCATGAAGCCTCAAATAGCATCTTCAAGTGCTGAAACAAAAGCAGAGAGCTCAAAATCAGACCATTTAGATATTTACATTACTGACTCTGTGCACAAGTATGTTTGTAGTTTATTTCACTTCTTTTTGGAAAAAAAAAATCATATTTTCTTATTGTATTCTATTAGCAAGAATAATATCTGTCCATTCTTATCCACTTCAGGATGAAAATAAGGTTATTCAAGCAGAGACTTGCATGCCTCATGTATCTAAACAGCTTGAGGATGATGATCTAATGATATTATTGCAAATAATGGAGGAAGGTGCTGAGATGGAAGTTCACATGCCTTATGCATCTAAAATTACCCATCATGAAGATGATAGCGAGGTAACGAAGGCTCTTGCTGACTTAGAGGCCTCAATGAAGTTGGGTCTGAATGAAATAGCTAGCTCTGAAGAAAGCAAACTTTTCCTTGAAAACGCTCTCAACACCTTGTCCTCTCATTGTTCTGATGATGGCCTTAAAGCTATAATACACTCTTTACAACAAGAAATCCAAACTGTTCTATCTTCCTTCAAGCTTGAACAAAAACAGAAGCTGATGTCTGAACAACGTTTGCAAAGAAAAAGAGCAGGCATGACTCTTTTATCTGAAATTCAAAAGACTCGGAATTCTATGATTGAGACTCAAAAAAAGGCAGCCGAGTTGAAGGAGCAAATCTTTAAGTTGCAGACTGAACTAGATAGCAAAGAAAATGAAATCCATGAGTGTGACAACAAATTGTTGTCTCTTGAAAAGCAAAAGAAGGAGAGTGTTTCTGACACCATTGAATTCATAAAGGAGTCGGAAGCAGTGAAAAAAGAGATGTCTCAGCTGGAGAATGTGGATTCTAAGTGGTCTTCTTGTGTAGCCAATTTGAAAAAAACCTCGTTGCTGTTAGGAGTCCATCTTAATCAGAAGCTTTGACTATTTGAGAGTGTCATTTAAAATTCCTAAAAAAAATTATTTGGGGGGGAAAAAAAAGTTCATTGTGGAAGTTGGGCTCTTATGGGTGTATTTGTGAGCTCCGAGCTCTTCGAACATGCGTCCTTTGTTTCTGGGTTGAGAAACTTTGGCTTCTTCCTTCAATTCATTCTTGCTCTGTTTTCACGAAAAGAAAAATATATGAGCTTATCTTCAATGAGGACCTCCACATCTATTTTCCCTTAAATATATTGACAGTCAATAAGTTTTTCCAATTTCAAATTTTAATGTATCTGTACTTTTTAAGTAAAAATATTCATTCTGACATTTTTATTTATATTTAAATTAATTTTATTCAAAATTAAAATTGTATGGCCAGGCTAGGCTAAAATACATAATAAAATATCATTTTCAAATTTTGAAATACTATTTATATTCTATTTTTTTGGGGAGCAACACTGACTGTATCCAGCTCAAAGCAAAGTCTAATTATTGAGGGCAAAATAGATGAGAGCAAAAAGACACACAATTTAGCTGCTACGTCCATATGAAATCTGAATCTTTAATGTAACCACTTGTTTAGATGAAGCGAGTCCTTACTTCATAATGACGTCAATCTAAATTGATTTTATTTTCCATTTTGATGAAAGCATTGTAATTCAAAATTTTTGTATTCAATTAATCGATTATATATATTACCTCTAGTTGTTAATATAAGAGCCAAATAACAAATTTAAAAATATTAAGAAAATTAATTTTGTTAATTATTTATAACAAATGTGTATTAATTTTCTTAAATTATTCTACATTGAAACTATCTCTTAATAAAAACCCTTCACAATCAACTGTGATATTTTAGGGGAAAAAATATAAATTTACAATAAATTGAATTATATAAGTTAACTACTTAATTTTACAATACAAAACAAATGAATTAAATATATGCGGCCTTTTGAATATTCATGAAGAGTGAAGGAGGACTTCATTTGCACTCTAAGGATTCACAATCAAAACCATCTGATTTTGCCTCCAATACAACATCTTTTGAAGTAAGTTTTTACTTGACTGCCTTATTTTGGTTGATTAATGATAGACGTTGAAACAGCTTGAAAACACATACATGCTAAATTCATTTGCAATAGAAAAAAAAAGCTTCCAGACACCTAGCGTTTATAAGTAAAAATTTTCAGATCAAATTTTTACGTTAACCCTCTTTTATTTATAGAGTAATTTTTCACTTGTCACGTTTGGATAGGTTATTTTGTTAGAGCGGTACAACATCTCATGTTCACCCTAACAATTACTTCATTTATTACGCACGTCGTTTATTTAGAATACAACAAGGGCATTGGGCGGTATGTAATATCAACAGCAATAAAATTTTGTTACTAAAATTTGTTGCATAAGTACATGAACTGTATCCTAACAGTATTCACTAAGAGTTTAGATTACTAACAAAACTGTGACTGACAATTGCAAGAACGTAACATATCAATTATCATCTCTACACCATTCTTTGATTTGAAAGGGGGGAGAAAAACCAGAAACGACTGCAACTTTTACATGAGAATTTTTATGGTAAAATGTATAAAATTCTCCTAAATTTAACCTATATATAACCTCTTTAAACTTGAAACTTATTAGAAAATCTCCTAAGCTATTAAAATATGGAATTTTACAAAACACGTTTTATATTTAAAATAGGGTAAATGCAAATGTGATGGAGCTTCAACAACATGATGAATTATAATTAAATAATTTATTTATCTTCTTTAGTGTCTCCATATTAGTCAAGTAGATCTTACATTAAGGATTGATGGTAGTATAATTTTTTTTTAGACAAATTTACATAATCTATTTTTAACTACTCTTTTCAATCCTATACATGTAAAGTTAATTAAATATGACCTATATTTTTTAACTGAAGGGAATATATAAGCAAGAAATGAATGGAAGATAAGAAACGTTATTTTCATCAAAATCAATTATTTCAATAATTTTTAATATGGAGCTAAGCGCACTTCTTACCTTGACCATTCGCACTGAACAAGAATAAAACTAATGCAATAATATCTCCGGTCCTAAATATAAGACTACGTTTATAGTCTATAAACAATGTCTTATATTTAGGACTGAAAATAGTATTATTTTTGTTTCCTCCATGTACACCAATAAATTCAATTATTGTTGTCGTTGTTGTAAGTTGTGGACCTTCTCGTAGAGTTAAATAAAATAAAGACACTTATTGGAAGAGATGAAAACTCTTCTGTGCAAAAGGGGAGGAAAAAGGACAAAGGGAAAAAAGGGAAACTTCAAAAAAAAAAAAAACAGAAGCAAAAACCAAACAAACAAAGAGGCCCATCGCGTCTTTTGCAAGCACTATTGAATGTGAGCTGTCTTTTTGGTGTCCTCTCCTAGGCTCGAAGAGTATGGCGACTCGATCAATTTTAGTGGTATCAGTTTCATTGTTGTTATGATGAGCAATTATTTTCAATGTGCACCTGATTAAGAAGGTCAATAATTAATACTCCTCCCATCCTTAACATAGAACCTAATTAAAAGGTTGATGTTGATTCTATATGTAAGACTTAGTTTGCATATTTGTCAATTTTTTAAAATTAATTCTATTAATATTTCCCCAATAATAATCAAGTAGGAGAAGAAGAAAGAGAAAGAGAATTAAAAAGGATGCTTAGGGTATTTTTAAAAAAATATTATACTACCTCCAGTCCTTAATATAAAACCTTGTTTGACTTTTTTTAGTCCTAAACATAAGACCCCAATCTATTTTGTCTCTCATATTTATCTATTTTTTCCAAGATAGTCCTTCTAATAATAGTAGTTCTAGATAACAAACTTGATTAGCAAGGATATTTTGGGAAAAACAACACCTATTCATTACAAATAACTAACTCAACTAAGTTCTTTATTCTTCCCAAATTAGTCAACTAAGTCTTATAATTAGAACTAGAGGTAGTATTAACTAATTTAATGAACATCCTTAATCTACCCAAATTAATTAATTAGGTCATATATTACCTCTGTTTATGCTGTTGCTTCGGCATATATAATAAATATATATATATATATTTATACACACACACACGTGGGGGAAAAAGGCATTTTATTTTATTTTACATATGTTACCTCTGGTTATTTTATTTTACAAACTTAATTAGGTCATTAATTAGGTCATATATTACCTATGTTTCAGTTTGCACTGTACGGCAAGGAAAAAGAAATCAAAGAGTGTGAGATCAAACTGTTATATCTTAAAGAGAAGAAGAAGAAGAGTGTTTCCGACTCTGCCAGCCACCAACGGATTATGCTATGTCTCTGTCAATTTCAGCTCTGATTTGTCTGAAGCATTTCGCATCCACACAACTCAAATTAATGCTTCCCTTGCAGCTTCACGATTCTGTGAAGATTATTAGAGTGCTCGTTAATTGTTGCACATTGATTTTAATCTCGAGGAAGCTATTATTCTGTTAAGTTCACACTAGTGGCCATGTAAGTTCTTGAGAAACTGCCATTCTAATCTCTGCATGAATTTCAAACCAGCACATATAGTTTTTCTCAAGTTACAGAATTCTGCAGTGTATCTTCAATGTTTTTATTTATTTGTTTGCTATTTAAACTGAATCAGACTATTGGCATATAATAAATTAGGAGGGGGACTTGAACAGAGCATTTAACTAACTAACCGCGGTTTCAAGATTTTTTTTTTGAAATGGCAAGTTGTTAATAAACGGCTATGACTTGTTTGAAATTATAAGCATGCTTAAAGACTTCTAAGTGTCTACTACTTTTTGAGGAGACTGTTCTCGGATTGAGCATCGTGGGATCCCTTGTTAAATTTGAATAATACTAATAATATTTTCTTTTTTGCCAGCCAATAATTTTTTTTTTTTTAATTTTCCAGTCCTCTGAATTGAATTTTTGTTAGGTCTTTCTCAATCCACTTGTTTGCTCGTTTATATCTGCTCTCTCTAGCTTAATTAATTTCTTTAGATGAATTAAAAATGAGGTCAAATTTTTCTAACAGTTAGTCTATGATTGATTGATAAATTGCTTTGTTCTTTGACTAATATATCTTGTCATACAGCTAATTGGGATGCAATTGTGCGATTTGAGACATCTTTCTTTGGCATCATTGAACATGGAAACAATTTATGATCTGGAAAGACTTCAAATTGCATGTCCTGTGAATTCAACCCTGAAAACCTTGAGTTTGTAATACTTGAATAGGTTAAGAAGCGTATGTGTGGGACCCAAAAAATCTTCATCTGAGCTTTCGAAATCTTTTGAAGCTGAATCTCTGATTGCGATCAGCTGAAATTTGTCTTTGTTACATCTATCTCGAGAAGCCTACTGTATTTGAGACGCCTAGAGGTAACATTTTGTAAAGAGCTAGAGCACATCATTGAGGATTATGATGATGATCAAGAATGTTGTTTCCCAAATCTCCATAGGATTTGTGTGGCAAGCTGGGAGAGCTTGAAATGCCTATTCTCTATCTCCACATGCGGTGGCCTTCCACAGCTCTCTGTGCTAGTCATATCAAGAGCCCCGGAGCTTGAGCAAGTATTTGGAGGGAAGCAGGGCGCAACACAAGAGGTGCACATCAACTTTGTGCTCCCAAAGCTATTTGTGATGCACCTTAAGGATCTACCAAAACTTCATACCATCTGTCCTGCAATTGATTTTCAGACTGTGATGTGTCGTTTTGTGCTGGCTTGTCCCAATATCTCCTTAACTTCATCTGATACTGAATTCGTTGGCAGTAAGCATCCAAAAGATCAATTAATTATTTACAATTGCCATATACTTGCTATGATTTTTCTCATTATAATATATATTTGGAATTGTTTTGTTTGGTTAGCATATATGAACTGGTTACGAGAATCTGAGTAACAGGGACAACATGGATAAAGATGATCTTTCTGACCGGCTTCTTAATGTAAGTTCCAAAATAAAATGGCTCAATCAAACTTAAATATATC